GAATAGCAGACAGTAAAAAGTCACAGGCCACTACAATGTGCTGTGTAGAAACTTTCAACCACTTCTTTCTACGGCATAATTGGGCGCACCCACACGACCAGGCAGACACCACACTAACATACACATTCACAGCAATCTTGGATCCAAAGTGGAAAGAAATCAGCCATTTGGTAAAGGTCTTTTTTTCTTCCCGGTTTAGAGGTGACTTTTTATTTCAATCATCTGAGCTGAACATTTTAAGAAAAGGAGTAAAAACGCAAGGCCGGGGGGGAAGGAGGGAGGCAGTATTTTGAGCCGAACGGCCGTTGAGGGCTGTGAAGCCGTTTATCTGCAGAAACAGTGGCATCTAGTGGGCAGTTTTTCAGATGAGAAAAGACAAAGTTAGCAGACGTTGAATATAAAACAAGTCAGCAATTAAAGCTAATGGTATGTTTCTCTCTTTCGTAGATGAAAGATTTTTCCCAAGTCTGTTGTAATCCTTTTCTGTAAAAGCATTTGGAAATCAACTATTTTGCAAATTTTCCCATTTTCAGTATACAAATTTCAGAACATTTGTTCTTCCTATTTTCATTATATTAAGCCCTCTCCTGGCTTTCATATGTAAATTCTGATTACTTAATGTCATACAGATTATAATAAATCTTCACCCAGTAGGAAAGTTAATGGTTTGCATGCATGTATAAAAGTCTAGCATTTTTCCCCAAGATTTTAGACATGGGCAAAAATAAACTAGTCCTTGAACACACTTGATCTAGTTCAACTTTAGATGATTTCAAGCAAATTATGGCTTTGAAGGAAAGATCTGTGTAAAGGAAGAGAATAAAAACACAGTAGGGCAGCCACACTGAAGGACTCTGGAAAAAGCTTAATTACATAATTTCTGTAGCTATAACTAAGTATAATGTTTATGCAGCATTAACCTTTTTTGCAAAGTATGTATGAGATTTTTCACTGCTGAGTCATAATGAATGCTTGAGTTAGTTTATTTATAAGTGACCCTAGGATCTTGTTCTTTTATTAGTCCACTGGATTACGTGTAAAACACTGTATATATTTTATGGACATACAGAAATGTATAATAAGCAGGATGAGGGGTTGCTACATCCATGGCAATAGTCTAAAGCAGTCACACTCATGCCTTCCCTCTCTCTTTAGACTGCAGCGTTTGCCAACTTCTGAAAGCCTGCTGTGCTGTGATGGCCTCCTCTTCTTTGGCTGTCTCTCGGGTAGGTTGAAGGGTGTTTCTCTGTTTACTTGCAGAGCCCAAATTAATTTGTCTGAATGGAGGACTTGGCTTCTTAAATCTGGCAGAAGAGCTGGATGTCTTAAAAAGAAATATCTTGGCTATGTTCTTCATGATGACAGGATTACAGAGGCTCTGATAGGCTTCAGTCTAGGTTTTTCTTCTTTACCCTCAGAATTTTCTGTTCTCTGTCTTTTTCTTTACACTTTTGTCTCCCTTTATTCTTTATGTTTCAAACTTCCTATATAGTGTCTGCTGTTTTTCTTGTCTTGATGGACCAGGAGGTACTTCAATGGTCAGTTGTACCACAGAACAGAAGTGTAGATGCTTTTAAGACAGAGTTCACTTTTCTAATGGAATTCTAGAAACACTGGTAATGGTTTTCATTTGAATCTGAGTGCAAACATGGGTTGGCTCTTTTGCCCATTGGCTAGATGAATCAGCCTAACGCAAATGTGAGCTAAAGACTATTAACACTATACCAAAATTTTTTCCCTGATGAAGTGGGAGAGAGCATGGAACAGGCACCTGGAAGGACTTCACCTTTCTATGTTTCTAGTTTTCTCTTTGTAAATTAGACATAATAATACTTAACTTTTCTTTGGAGATACCTACATGAGATCCTTTAACCCTAATGTGGAAAAGCAAACTTAAAACAATAAACAATCCCTATTCCACATGTTTGCGTTTGAATAACTGGGATTAGCTCAGTGTTACTGAGGTAGACCTAGAAGCTACTATTTAACATTACTAGTTATCTAACTTATGACTGAATATAACTAGATGGGAGTTCTTTTATTTCAGAGAAGTACTTAAATCAACTTTCACTGGGTGGCAGTTGGCATACTTGGGATTGGCATGAATTTTTCACTGCGCAAGAAAAAACAGAACCGGGATTTCACCTAATGACTTTCACTTCAATGGAGATATGCAAATTGAGATCTCTGTATTGAGAGTAGTACCAATGAAGCACACAATAGCAGCCTGATTATACTTTTTTACACTCCCAGATTTAATCTATGATTTCATCTTGACAGTAGGGGAAAGCAAGCCTTTGATGCTTTGAGATTTAAATTATTTCCTTGGAATCATGTAGGAGAGCTCTCTTACTGGAAGGAAAGTATACTAGAAGGACTGTTGATCTATTTCAGCCTACCAAATGCTCTGTTGCAGCAGTAATTGCCTTATGTATCTTCATAAAATTGTTTTTTATTTTGCTACCAGTCCTCAGGCTCTTAGTGTGACTGCAGTGAGGAACTCTGAAAGTTACTTTGGTCCATTCATAACTAATTCTATTGCCATCACAGATCATAACAGTCATGTAAGAGCCATCAAGACATTTTTAACGTTGTTTTGCAGATACCGTATGTTTACCATCTGACTGTACAAGATATTCTATACTAAGGCATAAGTTATAAAGGCACGCGGGCAGAAAAGGGATGGCTGGATGCAAGTGCCTGACCTGGCAGAATTATAAAGGAAAGGGAAAAGTTTTGCAGAGAAACTACAAAATGATTAGACTGCACCATAGTGCTTCCCAGCTGCTGATCCTAGAAAGTCCTCTGATGTTTCCTTAGTACTTTGCAATACTGAGCCTCACTTCCAGTGGTTTTTGTCAGCATATAGTATGGGAGACTAAGGTAACAAAATAATCTGAAAATGGATTTGAATCAAGCTTTTATTATGAAACAATATGTGAAACTCATCAGGCAATTAAACATAGATTAGCGTTGCATAAATGTTATGTCTTCGTACAATATTGTCATTTAACCTACAAAACTGTAACTAAGGATTCCTCCAAAGTCCAGAAAGCTGGCCTTGACGTCATGTTTATGTTCTCCAATTTTCTATGGACTTCCCCTCTAAGTTCCTTTTGCTTCAGACAGTCTAAAGCTGTACCCTTAAAAAGCATACCCTAGGACTAATCAGTGGTTCATTCTTGCCCATATCTCAGAAACTGGGGGAAACCCTTGATTTATTTATTCATGCATGCAATCATTACGGGTAGAAAATATATGGCGGTCTATAATGTATCTAGCCATTTATAGCTGGAAGTTTTGCTGTATCGCTGGGATTGCACTGTATTGCAAAGAGGTTCAGCTCTACAATGAGCACATAGCCAATGCAGGAGTAATCTTGTCCTCCTTAACACAATCATAGTATATATCCTCTTCAGTGCCCATGAAGAGGTCTGCAGAAAAAAAAGAAAAAATATAATTAAAAACCATGCTGACATTGGCCATACTAATAACAAACAAAGGGCTTCAAATCATTTAAGCGCTTTTCTAACGTTAATTCTTCACAATCGCCTGTGAGCAGCTATTGTAAAGAATTACAATAGCTAAGTGAGCCAGCTTTCAACTGTGTCTCAGCTGGAGGATTTTTAGAAAACAGCCAACTTACCTCCTAGGGCTAAGGTTTGGGAATTTTATGCTTTTGTTTTTAAATAAGTTTCAGACCTTTGGCTTATTGTGGATTAACATAGCTCTGTGGAAGTCTACCACAACATCCGGATTTTCAAAAATATTTAGATATGTACAGGTACAAATAGCAGAATTTTAAGCAGACAAACTTTCTGTCTTTTGAAACAGATCAGCCCTGACAGACACCATCTCTGTATTCTACTGCTTAAATGCTTTTGAAAGTACGGAGCTAAATCTGCAACTTTTACATTAAAAAGTTAACCGTGAGTGATATAGCATCACTGTTATGGTGATGATTCAAATGTATCTCAGTCGACAAATTTCATGTCTGTTTAAAGAATGTAAGCAGGAAGGCTTCTCCTGTTATAAAAATATACAGACGTAGGTATATCTTCTTTTTTTGGCATCACAAACGGCTATTGGGTAACTGGAAGAGTTCATGATTAATACTTATATTTTACAATCCTATACATTCCTTACCTCAGTGCATCACATTTTTTTAATGTAGTGATAAGTTGATACTGTATGCAAAACACAGAAGTCAAAAAAGGATGACCATATCACAAACCTAATGCGCATGGAGTACTATTGGGATGTGTCATTTTGTCACCGACTGGCTTGTGAGTAGTGCCTGGTTTCTGAGCTGTGCTTTGGAATATATTTCCCCATTGAACTCCGTGATGCATACGATAAACAGAGGCAATAAAGCAAACGATGCTGCCTATTACACTGATGTTGAAAATCATAAACAGAGCTAATAATCCATGCAAGCTCTGTGAAAATGTTCGATGTTGATGTTTACCAGCATGTGTACTAAATAGTGAATTCCATTTAAAAAATCACCAGCTAGCAATTACAGCTGAGATACTGCAGAACGGGCTCAACTCCTAGCAGGTCAGACTGCATCTTAAATATCTCAGGGGTGACAGCTATGAGTTTAATCCTGCCACAGTCCTACTGAGAGGTAAGTGAACAAGTACAAGACTTAAATAGTTAAGCTGGAAAAGAAGCACAAGCAGACAGAAAAGAAACAGGAGCAATCTGAAGCACCATTCATAAGAATGTTGTGCAGTCACCAGCTTATATCCATATAGCAGAGAAATGCATAACCAAATGTTCTGTTAACATGAACAGAACTACAGTGACACAGTTGATGCCTAGGACACTTCTGTTCCCTGCCACTGCTCTGTTGCCAGACACCTTTCAGCACAAGGTACTTCCTCCAGCCATTGGTTATTCTCCTCTTCCAGTTTGTGGCGCTGCCTTTCATTATGAAGAAAGAAATATGCACTGTAAAAGAAATACATATACCGATTGCGGGGTAGGCAAAACCGTTAGATTGGATGGACTAAATCCCTGTTGCAGTGTGGGAAGCAATGTGGATTCAACCAGTGTTCAAGAAATTGTTCTTCTGATCTCTGCTCCAAGCGCTGGAGGTAAAGCATATACTCCTATTTAAAGAAAAGAAAAAGTAATTTAATTATGTAATCACTCAAGTCTAATGCCAGACCAATGAACTAGGAGAATGTTTACAGCTTATATAAGAGCAATTAATTTGCCCCTTAAAATGATCAGATATAGTGAAATGGTGTTGCTAGTCAGCTTGCCCCAGCCTAGCAATATTTAATGAATGACATCATCATCCAGATCAGTAAAGGTGTTGAACAAGAATTTTACAACAATATTCGTAAATTAGAAATTCTGCATACACATTTCTTATTTGCATATCGACACAGAAGCCTCTGTTGGTCCTGAGGGTACAGAAGGATTCTCACAGATAGGTCTGTTGTAGCCTCTTTTGAAAAATGATTAT